CAGTGACTAGGCACTTTTAGAACAATCGTATGGATTTTTTTGAGCTTTTTTTTTTGTAATGTATTAAAAGTCCAGCTTCCGTTAAAGTGGCGGGGCTTCTGACTTTTGGTTAGTTGATTGAGGCCTCGAGATCTTTTGTGAGTCACTGATGCCCCGACGGACATCGCCCTACTTCTTAGATGGGGAAACGTGTCTTTAAATGGCAATACGTTTGAAGTCGTCGTGGCCTAAAGGATAAGACATCCGGTGCATTCGTGTCGAGCGATGCACCGGTGTTTGAATCCGAGGCGAGTAGGTACCAATTTTTCTAATGAAATACGTACTCAACAAATGTTCACGATTAACTTCCACGATGAAGGAAAAACGTCGTGTAATAAAAATCAAAATCATTAGTATCCCGCTCCCTTACAAAAGCTCAAAAGAATCGTTAATGCGACATACATCTTAATTGCATTAGAATAATGAAATTTGTCTAAGCTTTTATTAGCTTTTTTTTTCTTTCTTGACTAATCGACAGTGAAAATAGTAAGAAGTCAAAAGAAGAATTAAAGTTATCTACCGCCCTGGTGGCTTATTGCTACTGTGAGTCTCTCAAAATACCATAACTTCGATATGGGGTGAATACGACCTTCCTTCTCACCTAAAGTTGAGCGGTTATTATAGTAGAAGTATAAATTCTGGCCGATAAAGTATTCTAGCAACAAATCAGTCAACATCGTGGTATACGTACCTACCCGGCCAGAACCAAAAAATGCCTAACCACCACTAAAATATTACATCCCTATAATACGAAGTCTTGTGCCGATTACTTTTAAAAAAAAAAACTTCACTTACAAATAAAGATCTCACAAAAAAAAATCAAAGTAATTTAAAATCACATCTAGCCTAGATTGATCGTGGTTACCAAATAAACAGTATTCGAACTAACAAAAGGCGACCCATAAGAAAAAGGCTGGCAATCATAATGTAATTGTGACATTAGTCACACGTTCTGGCAACACCGGCACACTCACTGACATCAATCATTCTGTTCTGTCAGATGTAAATTAAGTTTACTTTTTTATGGGAATACGCATAGAGAATCGCAATTGTAAAATAAAAATAAATTGGTCTACCATCACATTTACCAGGATTGGCTGTTTATTTAAATCTTCAAGCACGTCTTAAATACTTCCTTATATTTATCAAAAAAAAAAAATTGTTATTTAGTAATCACGCTGTCTTTATTAATGACATAATGTTGAATGCTCTATATAACCGACCCAATGATTCCTTTCGACTCGATGATTCCTTGAAATATTCCACCAGTGCCTAATGGGTAATAATCCAAAAATTAGGCATGAAATAGACGCGTGTTCTGTTTCTATGATAGTAATAGTCCAAAGATATCTGATTTGCATATCTTCTTAAAATTAGGTGGTTTGAATTATATTAACATTATGATCCTCAAACCTAAATAATCAATAAAATTTAACGAATAGTTGATAGAAAATTACTTGAAAATCGTTTTTTTTTTGTACTTTCTTCTTCAACCCTTTATTTTTTATCAATGGATAATTATAATCAATGCTTTTTTGAGACAAAAAATATTGACATTCGTGCCGTATTTTTTTATTTTAGTTTATTCTGTTTAGCTATTAAATAAAAAGTGGTAACAAACAGTTTACAATCCACTATTAAAAACATTCGAACTTGGCTGTACAAACCATGGTTCCCGTTACCCGTTCTCATCGAAGAAAACGACCATAAAAAATCGCGTTGGCGCCTTCCCAAAGGCGTATCCTATTCACAGAGTATAAAACAAAAAAAAAACAAAAAAAAAAACTCAACTTTCTGATACAAAACATTGTACATTGATTAGTCTTTCATTAATTATTACGACCAAATCTAAAAGCCGTGGTCCATTCCGAGAATCGATGAATCGGTCGTAAAAAAAATCTCTCTAATATGTTACAACAAAATTGTTTTTAAGCCTAGACGCTCAAACCGCGCACGGGAAACAAACTTAGTGTCATTCACCATGATATAAAAGCCCGCTAAATTTCTTGTTGGATCTTTTCAGTGGGTCGCGATTCCGATCCGGTGGTAGATTCTGCGAAGCACTGCTCTTGCTGGGGCCAGTGTTAGCAAATTCTCTCAGGTTGAGCCCGAGAGCTCACCAACCCGTCCGGACGTAGCTGGAATAATAACCTCTTAGGCTACTAGAGAATTGGTAGGGAAAAAATTATGGTAAAAGGCAATATAATTTGCAAATAGTGACAGTCTTATGGCGTATGAAGATTTGCCCAAAGGTACACTGCTGTCTATCGCTGCTGCTAAAATTTCCCAGTTTAAAAGGTGGGACACTTTACATAAAAGTGGCGATGTGAGTAAGTTCATCTGAGTCATTGCTGGTATATTATGTATGTATGACAATGACATTAAAATAATCATTCAAATTTTAGTACGAAAATTATCTCAGAGCATTTCGACAATGATTTTATAAATGATAAATAAATATACGGCTAATTTAGCTACTCATTACAATAATATGAAGACAGAAAAATATGAACTTAATGCCGAAAGTGATAACGTTTATTTTCGGATGCGTAGTTTGCTATCAATAGATCTATGTGTGGAATATAGAATAGTGCGGGATTCTATTCAACTTTTTATAGTTTTAATGTTGAATCGAATCGCGGTATAGATTAGTTAGGGTTGGGATGTAAATAATAGTTAGTTATCGATAAATTAATTCTAAATGAAAACATTCGTAACTATACTAACTCCGGTAGCCGTAAATATAAATTGCAAGAAAAAGACTATGCGATAAATGGCAACCCAAAAATTTAAAAAAGGTATTGGAATTTCCAAATTTGAACGCTTTCATCCGAAAAGGAAAAATATGACTTCTTTGACATTTATAAGCTATTTCCTGTACCTATTACAAATTTGAGTTAACTCTTACACGATTGAGAAGTTAAAAAACACGCACTTATCACTCAGGAGTGGTCGACTATAGGCTGATAACGATGATGACGTGGTCAATAATTAGGATAATTTACACAGGTTAAAACCTCATTTAATCAAACACAAAATATACATACATATCGACGCTTGAAAGGCAAACATGACTAAGCGAAAATAACTGCTTTGTACATAAATTATAGGCAATAACCATATTCGATGCGCAAAAAATATATATTTCTAGGTCTATTAAAATTATTTCAATCCTACAGCTAGATTCGTTAAAATAGATTTTTTTCAGGTATTTCAACTTTAAATTAGTCTACTGTAAAGTTCACGAATTGTCGCTTAGTCACGTTTGCCTTTCAAGCGTCGATATATAGGTAACGGTATCTATATATATATAAATGAATTGCTGTTCGTTAGTCTCGCTAAAACTCGAGAACGGTTGGATCGATTTGGCTAATTTTGGTCTTGAATTATTTGTGGAAGTCCAGAGAAGGTTTAAAAGGTAGATAAATATGAAAACGCTTGGAATTCAATAAAATAACAATTTTGTTTTTCCTTTGATGTGTCCCCCGTCGGACGGTTTCTTTTTGTTTGTTTTAAGTTTATTTTATACAAAAGTTTACGTATTTTATTTATCGATTGAGGCACTACGAAGTCTGCCGGGTCATCTAGTCTCCAATATATTTTATCGACAAATTCTCACGGACGCCGCGTTCTTCCCTACGAAGAGCGGGTTCATCAAAGCGGACACAACCCGAACAATAACTGAGAAAAATTAAATTATAATAAAATTAAGTGTGGATAGTTTTTTTTTTGTAGCCCTCGAAGTTTAACCGACTTTACTAATAGTGTAGTTACATCGAATGTTATTGTACGTATTATGCTCCTCACACTAGTACACTTACAAATTTGAGTTAACTTTTACGCTATCGAGAACGTTAAAAAACTCGCACTAAGTACATGATTCTGTTAGCATTCTCCTGTTACAAAGGCAAAAATGCGTTTTCCCTTTCACAAATGTCGGGATATAGATAAAAAAAAAACATATGTGTAACTTGACAAAAAAATTATAAAAAAAAGTCCTTTTTAATAAAAGCTCTAAGACAAAACAATATCCCTCGCCTTTTTAATTATACGTTAAAATAAAATTGTCAATTCACTATCAGCTGCGTTTAGAGAAAAAAAAAATATAATTACACCTTTCACGATGTCATTAGATTTCAAGTATTATTCCCGTGGTCTTAAAGTCAGTTTTTATCCGCACAAATATTCTAAGATAAGATTCTAAGACAGTAGTGTATACGCACACAATGTTTTCATAATTATAGTTCTTGTGACATAATTACACACGTGTGGTCGGGGCGCCATTTTGTTTTTTTCTTTTTTTTTTCAAACGTTTCTGAATTTCGTAACTATTATATTTTGAAACTACAGAAGTGTTCGAATTTTAAATTTAGAATTTATTTTACAGTATTTTTAATTGGTATTAATTTATGTTTTTTTTAAAGTTCTCAGACTATGGTTTAGCATTTTGTTTTTTTTTTCAAATTTGAAATATTCTATTAATGAACGTGTATTGAAGATACATTTCGAAGTTTAGTAAAGTTTTGAGTTGTGATAGCTTAAGGTTTTTAAATGTCGAAGTGGTATGTGTCTCTTTCCCTTTGCCGTTCCTTTTGCTTGAATAGTGACGTCATAATTCAGTAGTCCGTATTAGCAACATCGCGTGGTCTCTATTTAGCATGACTTTTAATATATTCAACTCCGTTACTCCCGAACTAACTCGAACCAAAACAATAAGCATATTTATTAATTTACGACAAATTTCTTTAGATATTTGATCACAAAGTGTAGTATGTATAGATTTTAAACTAGTCTTAATTTACCCTACTGTATGGTTTATTTTACGCTGCCCTCTTGATTCGTTACGATTTCCATAAGTCACGATTCAAGCGATGTGAGGCCATGACGTCATACCCCGTGACGTCATCCGCGTGACGTGTGCAAAACTCTTCATGGTAAATGTCATCGTGTCTTCAACTTACCTGCGTCTGCGTTAGTCCGAGGCTGGCCGCCAACTCCGCCCGCTCTGGCAGCGCGAGGTACTGCGTCCTCTGGAACCTCCTGTTCAGCTGTTGCAGTTGAAGGCTGGAGTATATTGTGCGGGGCTTCCTCATCTTCTTCCCTTTGCCGTTCACGCGGAGACCGGGGTCGTCCGAGAGACCGCATTTCTCTGTAAACAAATACAACATATTTAAGATGCTACCATCGTGTCAGTCATTGTCTGTGAGTTTTTTGAAGTTGTACTTCTTTAGGCGCGTTATGAAAAATTGATGAGAGTGAGATTTTACGATGCGCGCGCACCGTGACACAAAATTAACAGAATGAAGTTGCCCACTAAATCGCTCATTACAATACGACCGACGTAGCTTGGCGAGTCTGAATATAGCCGCAGGTGAGCTTTCCGAACCGTACCGAGAATTACCGAATTTATACGATGTCAAGAAAAGGGATGTCCAATATGCGTGTTTGAGGATGTTGTTTAATCGATATTTTTTTCAAATTGATTAAAATTTAAATAAAAAAAAAGAAATAAATTTTATAAAAATAAAGTATAACTTCTTACGCGCGTACATAAGTACACGCACCCTTTTTTTATTGCTTAGATGGGTGGACGTGCGTGAGTGGGTAAATTATTCGTTCTTAAGCTTAAAGAATAAATCTGTTAATATGTTAATATCTTCTCAAAGAGCTGCAGTACCTACCCACGATGTTTTATGGCACTCTCTATCATTAGCTTACAGATATTTATGCACAGCCCACCTGGTGTTAAGTGGTTACTGGAGCCCATAGACATCTACGACGTAAATGCGCCACCCACCTTGAGATATCAGTTCTAAGGTCTCAAGTATAGTTACAACGACTGCCACGGCCTTCAAACCGAAAAGCATTAATACTTCACGGCAGAAATAGGCAGGGTGGTGGTACCTACCCGCGCGGGCTCACAAGAGGTCCTACCACCAGTAAAAATGTAGATTTAATAATGAAGGTAGTTGTAAAATTTCTTCATTAAGGCAAGTCTACATTGTCTCCAGCTCATGTAAGACAAAGTAAGGGGCTATGCATATTGTTGGCCGGAAATACTCTATCATGATGATCACATGTTGGCTCAATATTATCGTCATTTCGATTAGATATTAAATAATCCGAAATTTCAAACTAAAAAGAAAATCGGCTTCGATGAAAAAAAAAGCATCGTCAATGCACTCGAAGGCAATGAAATATGATTTTTTTATGGTTAACCCAAAACTGCTGGTCAGATTTAAGTATACGAAACCACATGAGAAGCACTAGCTTTCGTACAGAAAAATAAATCAACAAAATTGGGTTACCTAGAAAAAAAGCTCTGGTTTCTGACGCACATAAAAGATTATAATCTCATATAATACAAACCTAAAAAAAACGATTGTAAGATTCTTGCTTCTAAGTATATAAATATATTATATAAGTCGATTCTGTATGTCTTGATTTCTCTCTGTATTTCTTTAATTTTATAAGTACTTGACTTTTTGGCGAAAACGCGAGGAATAAAGTTGTATGATTTGTTTTATTTTGTCTATTTAGTGTTTCTTCAGGCTTAAATGTGTAATAACGGAAAAAGTCTCAGTAAATGACCACCATTTTACTGAGATTATATTGCATCCGATATCATCTCATCTCATTTCATTTCATTTCGTTTTCATTTTAGTTCATATTATTGTTTTTCATATTAAAAAAAAGTTTTTATTAAAATTAAAATAAGACTTGACCTAAAGGTCTTAGTTACCAGGTCATAAAATCCCTTAAAAAATTATAAATACTCTATGCTATCACGGCACGTCAAACTTTTTTTTAAATTAAAATCTTGTATGTAAAAACCTTTAGCCCATACAGCCACGAATGTCATAGTAAGATATTATTATGAAGCCTTTTTTTCGTTGACTCCTGTGCTTCAATTTGATCGTGTCGCATAAATCACAGATTAAAAATCAAACAAAAAAAAAAAAAACCTCCGTTCTATCTTAAAATCTAATCTATACCGTTTTCTAAACGCGACGTCCGTAAACGAATACCATACCGCGTATGTACATCGGATACATCGCGTTTTCGTCCAGTAACACACACACACCCCCATCGTAAATCAACTCACACAGAACGACGCAATAAATCAACAATATAAATATTCGAGTTACACGATGCCCCGCGAAGGCCCGCCATCCATTTTGTAAAATATATGAAAGGCACATGCTACTTGATAATAATAGTCAGTGGTAAGTTGTAATTATTGGGGGTCTTGTGTATCGCGACGATCGGATCGCCGCGAGTCGTACGCGTCCGACACCCAGCTCTTTTTGGCGGCAAAGGAACGTTCGAATATTAATATCTCAACAATAATTTGATGGTCTCGAACGTTCTTTATTTTTTTTTATTTTTTGTTTACGTCGTTTTCATCTTTAACGTGTTTCCGAACGTGATGCGTGGAGAATCCTCTTCGATTTTTAGAATCCGTGTGCTTCGTGTTCGAAAGAAAAAAAAAAACGTGTTTGTTGTTTTTTTTTTTTGCTTCCCTTTTCTTTAAATTTGAAGACGCGTTCTCGTCTAGCGACCTTATAATCAATGCATTTGACCTTTGCAAGTAATTATTTTGACGTTCATGTCAATTTCGCTCAGAGATTTTGTTTGATAGCTTCGAGATCCGACCGTGAAGGATGCGGGACGAGCTTGACAAATTTATATTACTTAAATTATTTTTTATTCTTCTAATAAGATATATAGAACATAGATAAGTATGTTTTAACCTTACAAGGGTAGAGATACATACATACATTTATCATTGCTGCGAAGAAGTGGTTAGAAAATTGACACACATACCTCAAGCCTCCAAGTAAATGACTTCACCCGTCTATTTAATAAAATTGAAATTAATATTAAAAACTTTATCTAAAACCATTCACCATTAAGCCACATCGTATTTAAACCTGAAAATGATAGTATTACATTCATTTTTCTTTAAGTTTATCTTTCACTAATTTACTGCTATTAAGAAAAGATTTGGATGGGCTGTGTGAAAGAGGATATGCAAATTTTTTTTTCATACCTAATCTGATATCTTGATAGACCATATCAGCGTCACAGGGCGAATAGGTGAGCTCACGGGGCTCAAACCTGAAGTTGTTGCTAACACGAATCCTAGCAAGAGCAGTGCTTCGCAGAATCTATCATCGGATCGGAAACGCGACCCACTGAGAAGATCCGGCGAGAAGCTCAGCGGGCTGTGTCTGTGGGTTAATTTACTCGTCGAGCCCTTCATCGCAAGCGACGGGTTCGATGGGAACGATGGCCAGTGCTTGAGGTACCTAAAAGCACCGTTATTGGATCGAGAGGATCCGAAATCACTTGTTTTGGACCACGTCGAATGCTTTCCATTCTGTCCGTAGGATGTGGAATCGACGCACAGAAAGTAATCTAAAATATTACGAAATTCTTTTTTTTTTGAAATTATTATGCCTTAACAACGAGACCTTTCAGCCAATTCTTACTTTCTTTTGTTACAATATGAAGCGAAATGAGATAAGCTTCATGCTTCATGATATCAGCTTAGGTATGAATAAAAAAAACCAGTATTTTAAAATCAACATCAAGTCTTCTTTTTTAATTTGATCTTTTATTAATTAACACTGTGTTAATGTAATTGTCGAACTCATTGATCGAAGAGTTCGTGGTGAACAAAGCCTATAGCATCAGCCTACTGAGTCTCCCGCTTCTTCTCAACGGATTTGGAACCGGTAGTAGATACATTCGCAGCAGCTGCTCTTGAGCTGTTAGGCCTCCTTTGGATGCCCTCGGGCAGCTACCTATTACCAAGCCCCACCCCTCCTAGCTGAGCTCGTATTGCCCACCTGTCCTGGTGAAACTGGAAAGGCCTCCGGGCCACCAGTAATCCGTCTATCCCAAAAACATATACTATTATAGTTTCGTACACAAAAACTGTTTTCTCCCTTATATATAAAAAATAATTTTTATAGAAGCACTAGCTTTAGCCCGCGACTTCGTCCGCGTGGAATAGTGACTCCGGCATAACGCTAAATTTTACCCACCTCTTCATTTACGTAGAAAGTGAAAATATTTTTGAATAATAGAGAATGTTAAGGAGCTATTTTTTAAAACTTTTAAAGGGGAACAATTTTGTCATACATTATTTTAGCGTAACTTTAACCGTTACCGCAGCGCACGCAGCGGAAGCTCTCAAAAGCGAAAAATACTCCGATTTGAAGCATTCTTTATTGGTGCTCCGCTTGCATTGGTATTAGCGTGATGTTATATAGCCTAAAGCCTTCCTCAATAAATGGGCTATCTGACACTGAAATAATTTTTCAAATCGGACCAGAAGTTCCTGAGATTAGCGCGTTCAAACATACAAACTCTTCAGCTTTATAATATTATAAGTTTTTTTTTATTGCTTTGTAGGCAGACGGGCATACGGCCCACCTGATGGTAAGTGGTTACCGTCGACCATGGACTTCAGCAATGCCAGGGGCAGAGCCAAGCCGCTGCCTACATTTTGTGCGTATATTTTGTCACTTTTGTTTTAATATCTAATTCCACTCACAATATCGTGGTGCTGCATTAGAATTTTACGTTTTTCGCAAGGCCTCGACTAAATCGTTCGGAATTTTGTATAACAAGAGGGGAAAAATTAAAAACGTATTTTTATTCAATGTTTCCGAGAATCCATTCCCATGGCAAGTATTAGCCGTCCGTGTGTGAGTTTAATTAGGGCTGGCAATCGTCCGGTTGTGTGTTTATTGATTTATCGATAAATTTTCATTGGTGTCGCTTTCGTCGTTTCTATCGTCATAAGGTCGGTTCATTGGTTTCGAGTTAGGATTCTTGGTAGAGGTCAGTCGGTTTGAAGTTGGCTGTTATTTGGAGTCCGACTGTATTTGTTTATTTATTTTTTATTGCCCTTGTAGGCAAACGAGCTTACGGCCCACCTGATGGTGAGTGGTTACCGTCGCCCATGGACTTCAGCAATGCCAGGGGCAGAGCCGAGCCGCTTCCTACCGCTAAATGTCTTATAGTTGTGTTTGTTGCAAGGAAGAAAAGTTACAGTCTTGATAAACTACTCATCACCGGTAAGGTAAAAGGAAATAGGGCAAGAGGGCGTAGTCTCATGCGCTGGTCCAATCAAAT